TTCAATTCTATAAACAGATATAATTTCTTGTTCAGTTACAAAGTTCCGCTGTTCAAGTCCTATAATTGCTGTGTCGAAAATACCGACTAATTTGTCAATCGAAATTTTTTTGTTTTCAATAACCTCTGTCACTTTCTTCGCTATCGGAAGCGAATTATAATGACGAGGAATTTGATTTAAATCATATCAAAGACGGAGCACATCGAGATGAAATACTACATTTAGTAAGGAATTATAAGCCAAATATCTGCCCTGGAGATAAGGATAGTGCTTACAAATCAACTTCCAATTCATTGCGCGCCACGGCGTTTCCCTCCCCCCGCAGAGCAGCGTGAAATTGATAAACAGATTTTGGAAGATAAACAAAGGATATGCCTATATCCATTTTTTGCTGCAATTCCACTTTTTGTATAACGGACTTTGAAACATACTTTTGTTTTGTAGATCCTTTACATATTAGTAAATATATATCAGAAATTCTATTTGACATAATCGAAAGTTCAAGCTTACTTTTATAAAATTGCTCTAACAGTCTGCAAAAAATAATAAGCCGGATCCAATTCGAAGATTAAGGAACAACGCAATCTGCAACATTAACCGAATTAGATAATTTTAACTTAGCTTATACTGTCTGTTATACATTAAACGTGCATTCGTAAACATATTTTGCGCATGCGCACACACATATTCGCAGCCGTAAAGGTCTTACGCTCATGCGTCAACACGGCGCATGCGCAGAAAGTTTGTAGCTTTGATGTCCGGATTATGGATGTCCGAATTAACGACTTTTGACTGTAAATATACCATCTAGTTGTGCATCTGACCAAAAAGTGAAGTATTTTTTTAGTAATTCCAAAGAGATTAACTGCTTCCGAGCATGATAAAGCAGAATGCACCCCGAGAAAATACAAGGAGTGAGCCAAACATGGCACAAATTCCTTCAGCTTATGCATTTCTGTAATCCTAGATTGTACTGTTTTAGTAAAGCCAACCATATTAGACTCGTTGTCGCAAGATTGACACCGACATTCTCCAATGTCTAAACTATCAAATGTCAGTTAAGACACTACTTTTCTACAGTGCATTGAGAAATACATTTTCCTCATTCCATTGAGAAATACATTTTCCTCATTCCATTGAGAAATACATTCTTCTATCTACTTCAGACTGTTTTGCCTTCATTTTGAATTATCTTTGATAAATATGATTCCTTTCCCTTTGTTTAGTGCTTTGACTGATACTCAGTGGCATAGCTAGGGTGGGGCAAAGGGGGACATCTGTCCACGGGAGCAGCATTCAGGGGGCGCCAAATTGATGTTACGAAATTTTAGAATGAAATTTTTCCATTCCTGGCACAGAGAAAGGGCTGCAAAATCTTCAGTTGTCCCTGGGCGCTGAAAACTCTAGCTACGTCTTTGCTGATACTTAAGAGTTGAATTATGTTTGGCAAGCGGAGAGATTAAATTCAGAAAATTTCCTTCACTATGTCGAGGACGCTTTGTAAACAGGCTACCTAAGATATCATCAGATCCAAGAAATGAACGACAGTTTGTTGAAAGATACAGTACTCAAAAGACTTTCTCTCTATTTTTCTTTCTTTGTGTGAATGTGTCGCTCAGTATCGTGATCAATGCCTTGACACATTTTTATTTGTTGTACTCGAATTTTCCACTTAATCATGCACATCTGTGGATTCCAGACTCTTCGTGCTCAGTTAATCTTGCAAAACTTTTTTCCATTTAATGAATCTTGTTGTATGGTATAGCAGCAGCACCTTGTTTCTGATAAATCTTGCAGGGTGTACAAAAAATTGCATTCTTGTTTTTAGAATATGTAAACCAAGATCTTTTAAGCTTTTCTTTATTTACTAATGTTCTATATTACATGTCAAATGTCTGCCATAACGTCCAATGGGATTGAGGTTTACGTTTTTTAGATGTTTACCGGCTAATAATACTGATTAACTACTTAAGAAAGATTGTTGGTGATCTTTCATTTTTTCTATGACCAGTCCAACAAATCATGACCAACATGGGTCCAACAAATAAAAAATTTTCAATTTTTCGTCTTTCTGCTGCCCGCCCCCATCTAAATGAAGAGATTCATTTATATCATGGTTTCATGTCCTCCAGCTATTCGTTTAATGTCATTGAAGGTTGTTCTTTCAAATGCTGACTAATAGATTGTTCGGGTATGATATATGCAGTCATGTTTTGTTGTGCAAATTGCAAGAAATATTAATACCCTCTAGAATCTCAGCATAATCGGAATTGCGACAGGGTCTGACGATTTACCTCTTCCTTAAAGTTATTTTTTCATCTTAGCTGAAATTTGTTTTCTCTGTTTGGCCTTATCTTTAGCTCCTTTTCTATATTCCGCTTTTCTACCCCTCAGCGCGCAGATGGTTTGTTTTAATCTAAATGAAATTCACTATGAATTGCCTTAATAAGAATAAGAATTGATGTAATTACACTGAACAGTCCTAAATAAATGGTCGCATCTCGCTAAATATAGTGGGGGCTTTTAAAAGCATATTTAAAAAACGAAAAAAAAAAAAATGTACAGAAAAGACCTGGAAACTAAGAAAAAACCATAAAAATAATAAATTTAGCTTTAAAATCCAAAATACACTCCACTGTTCCGAGTCAAACCAGAGGTGAGCCTAAGTTCCCGGCTGTCTGCAAAAAAATCTACATGCCTTGCTTCATCTTGAAGGCATAATGATGGACTTGAAGGCATAATAATGATATACTCGACGAATGTTAATTTGAATTATTTCATTTGTCCAGGATAGCCCAAGGTTAATTTTTTAGGCCAAGGGTTAGCTCTCAGAAAATAATTACAGTGCTTCTCCACTTCCCAGCAGACGTTGCTATGGAAACCAGGCATCTTCTTCAACAAGCTATCGTTCTATTTCTCATTTGAATACACCCCGCCCAGACAGGAAATGATAGAGGGACTTCAGAGGTTAATGATAGGGTAAGTCTGATTCTATCATTGACGTCTGGAGTCCCTCTATTTGCATCTTTCTGAACTTATATTTATAGTTGTAATTGGCTGTACTTAACTTTATTTTAACTCATGTTCCTTTAAAAGGGTTCTTAGTATTTAATTATAAATCTTCTTAAGAGATTTTTAAACTTTGCCTTAAAACTATTAACATTGTACTAAAATTAGAGAGCTGTTTTAGCGAACAACATGCCAAATGCGATCTAGCATTATATTTGAATTTGCCGCCCACAATAGTTGCCCTCCGCTAAATCCAGGACTGTTGCGAGCAGATAAAGGAAAAGTACCAAATGTTAATTCTGTTATGTATATTCAATGCTTGAAGTAATTCCAGATAGCCTTCTCCCTCGATTTCTGCAGGCTATATGATTTAAAAACAGTATACTTTTTGTACGGAAAATACAGTATCTGAGACAGTTTTAGAAACAAAATATTCTTCCAATTTTGAATGGTGTAATGTTAGTGAAAAGTGTTAATTGATTAAAGAAAATGTTTAAAAGTATGTAAAGGTGTTAAAAACTTTTAATTTCATCTATAAATGAATTGACAGTTAAAGATTGTAATATACTGCATGTACTTTCAAGAATAATCAAAGTTTTTCATGTAATCAAACAATCATTTTAAAATGGAATAAAAATATCCATTAAATAAAATATTTTATTTTCTCTCTCTCTCTCTTCCCCTCCCCCTTATTTTGTTATTTTTCTTTCTTGCTTCTTCATTTTTTTGAGGGTAGATTTAATTTTGAATTTCATTTTTTCTAACTATAATTGAAAAAGTCTTCATGATTAATATGTCACTTTTTAATCAGTACTGAGAGTGGTGTATTGTCAGGATTTGATTGTGTTTTTTATAAGAATGAAAATTAAAATTCCAATCTTTAGACTTTTGGTTACTGCATTTTATGAATTAAAGAGATTATCCCATTTAGTGACGGTCCCTGCTAGACAGGACTTTTCTGAGAAACAAGATTCTGGTAGCACTGGTTTAAATGGAACAGTTCCTAGAAAAAAAAGAGTCCTGCTGGAAGTGAAGTCCCGCCTAACTATGGAAATGATGTACCGGCTACGCAGAATTTTTTGAAACCTTGCCGGAAATGTTTTGGCTGCAGCTCTGTCCCGCGTAGAAATCAACCAATCAGATGAAAGTTCGTGATCCCAATCTAAGCAATAATCAATTACCGTTTGGTGTTCAAGTCTTTGTAGTAAGTGAAAATGGTAACTTAGCTACGTAGGTTTCCTGGAAATGTGCGGGTTCTGAGAATTGTCTCTTTTGACGTCAAGTCCCTCGTAGCCGAAACATAATGTGATTGGCATTTTAGATGTACCGTTCTAAGGTTTTCTTTTCAAAGCCAGAAGTGGGAAAGTTTAGCTGGGCCTTCACTGGGTTCAGATTTTGACTTTCTGATGCTAACCAGACATGCTACTAGTTACAATACGATAACACACAGGTAGAAAGGCAAAAATTCCTTGTATTCTTCACCACATAAAAGGACTTCACATAGCTGGAAAGAGGCAAACAGTTCTCAATTGGCCAAATGCAAGTGATAATGAATTATCTTCACCATATTACTCGTGTATCACCATAGAGCACATTTAAGCAATTTTTTGAAAATGGAACAAATCAGCTATGCTTTCACCAGCATTCAAACTCCTGATTTACTTACTAGCCAGAATATGTTATTAATTATGCTACAAGACCGTATGTTGGGGAAGGTGAAAACTCTGCATAATGTATTGTTTCATAAATTAAAGCTTTAATTGAAGCTTTTACGGAAAAAAAATGTTTGGTATTTCCTTTCAAAACAGATCCTTTGATGACATTCAAAATTTGCACATTACAAACTGGCTACTAAGTTTGCCCATTGTGACAAATAAAAACAAAAAAGTTAACTTTTATTTTTATCTAAAATAATTGTTTGGATTTCTGTATTAATTTGTTTTGTAGTTTTATATGAAAAACTGTGCTTTAATAACTTGTATTTTTTATAGGTTTTCTTACAGCAAGCATCAAGTATTCATGGACACAAGAAATGAAGCTGCTGTCAGTGTTTCTCAGTTGTGAAACTGAAGAAAAATTCTTTCAAAGAAAAAGATGCTTCTGAATAAATTAACTATTGTTTGACGAAAATTCAGTTTTTTTAAAGGTAAATATATTTTTACAAGTAAAAAGGAAAAGTAACATAAAATAAATAAAGAATAATAATGTGTATGTTTAATCTTATTAGGATGACCAACAGCAAAACAAGCAAAAAAAAAAAAAAAAAATTATTAAAAAAAATCTGAAAGGTTTGGTTTTAGATTTTAAATTACGTACAAAGGGGCATTTTTTTAACGTTTTGTATGTTACCTTTATTTATTAAGTATGTTCTGCGTACTCAAACCATAAAATTCAGTTCAACAGCAGTATTGCAAAATAATTTTTAAATGAGATATCTGTAGAATTTCAGATATAGATTCTCGTGCACTAGAGATAAAAATGTCCCCCCATACAGTGATGCCATTGCTCGCTTTGAAATTGTTTAGTTTGTTAATCAAAAAATCATTGTAGTGTTACAAAAATGAAATCAATAATAAAAGATTTTTCAAATTCAAATTAGAGCTTCCACGTGCCTATATTCTGTGGAAAATTACGTTATTTAAATTTTGATGGCTCTAGGTACCGTTGTTGTATCACAATGCAAGAAACATACATACATTCATGCAGATTCTTCATTATTTAATTTCTTTAAATATAGTACAGGGCAATAATATTTGGGGGCAACAATTTGAAAAGTGGAACAACGCTTATCGTGATTGACGCAAAATGCTGAAATGAAATTAATAATTCTTCTGGGAAAATTGCCCTTTTGGACTAAAAACAGAACTTCCAGTTCTAGTCTTTTTCATTTTCTTAAAGAGCGTAGAGTTTTTAATTTAGAGAATAAAGCTATTCTATGTATTATATTAGCACTGAATGGATCATATTTAATTATTCAACTTGAGCAAAGCGTATAAGTGCTGTCATTCCAGTTTTGACCATAGGTTTCCTAGAGATGGAATCCAAGGGTCTTTATTCATCTTCACTTATGGCCAAGCCCTGGGCATATTTTAAGTGCCTGCATAAATCACCACTTACCTATTATCCTTTCAACCATGAAATTGTTGCCAAGTGGCACAATTTAGTGGCTAATTATAAATGTGATCTCACATCACATTGACAACATCTGCACTTTCTTTTCAGGTTATCTGGATTTATCTTCTTTTTGTATGCCTTTGTGGTATAATTGGAAGCATACTCCACACGTATTCGAGAGGTTTGCGGGTTCGAGTCTCAGTAAGGACACTGCACATTTTTCATGTCTTCTGCTTTGAAATACAGTAATAATACAACAAGTGGTACCTGAGCTAAAAGGTGGTAAATAATAATTTATCCCCCCCCCCAGAATTTGGTATTTAAGTCCCCAGTTGCCCTTTGAAATGAGGAGCATATAAGGTATTTTCTCCCTCCTTTCCGCATGCTTTTGTTGTATAATTTGAATCGTACTCGACGTGTATTCAAGAGGTCCAGGGTTTGAGTCCCAGCAAGGGCACTGCACATTTTTCACATTCCCTGTTTGAAAGTAACCTAATGATTGTGCAATGAAACCCTGATTAATTCTTGATAAGCCAGTCTTCTCCATCATCATCATCTTTTTTTTTTTTTTTTTTTAAGAAGGCTATAAATTATTATTGCTTTATTTTCTTTACATTTTGAAAAACAAAAAGGTACTTTTTTTTATTGAGACCATAATCAAAAATGTATGCATGCATGTACGTGAGTATATATGTATATGCGTATATGTGCATGTGTGTACACACGCATACATAGTAAATGCATACATGAACACATAAATCCATCTTTCCGTCCATACATTTCTGAAGCCGGTCCCAATAACAGAAGAGTACGAAAAAAATTAAGTTTGAGGATCTAAAATCACATTTGTAACCAAACTCTGGTTCATTTACAACTGATCATAAGAAGCGTCTGTTGGAAGGGTAATAGCTTGGAGCAATCGCCTACATGAAGTTTCAATTCATAGTGTTTTTAAACAGAGCTTTCAGTAAAACCAAAATCCCTAATAAAATAACAGAAATCAATGAAAGACTTTTTAAGACATGAAAAAATAAAATGGGTCAAATACTTGCATAGCATTGGCTATTTGGTGGATTGTGCGAAGAGACTAACAGTATTTTATTGTAAGCGTTGCAGATAGAAGTGCGGCTCAGAATTCCTCAGGAATGATGACTGACACAATTTCAAAATCTCCATCAACTTTCATAGTTCAATAGTAGCCAACTTTCATGATCGAGGGAATATAATATGTAAGTATCAATAAATCTATCACAGATTCAGTGGGTTTTACAATGTTGGCCAAATAATATGGTACAGATTTTATGTGCCATATTATGCTATAAATAAATTATATTATTTATAAGCATTGTAAGCAAAGGATCATAACTTATATGGATTCAAACCTATGTACGGTGGCATGAGCAGGTGGTGCTCAGAACCATAATCTGAAGCTGTGTTCAGACGGCGATATAAAGAGCATAAGTGGTTTGAGCTGAGCTGCATTGCCAGGCAAGCAGTCTGTGTTACGTCTTAAAATCTGGTTTAGGGTTCTTGGCATAAAGTTTTAAGCTTCCAACTTTATGCCGACTTGAGATGAATCAATCAGAACGAATGCACCAAATCTAAATAGGAAAACAGAGTGGGAAAGCTGTAGACAACACCACGCATCCGCAAATTTAGCTTCTCTAATTGGACGACGCTTAGACTCTGTCGCAGTTAGTGATGAATTGGTACTACCGAACCGGATATTTTGTAACGGGTACTTAGTTGTAACGGGTAATGAAAATCGGTAAATCCAAGTACCATTACTTCAGTACCAAAATCGGTACTTTTCGGTATTCGTTACTTCTGTACCGAAACGGGTACTTTTCGGTATTCGTTACTTCTGTACCGAAACGGGTGCTTTTCGGTATTCGCTACTTTGTAACGAAAATATGTGTCTCTCCTCGGTATTCGTTACTGGAGGATCGATGAGGGTTCAGCTCACTTCGGTTTTGGTACGAGGACAGTAGTATCTGGTTGTATTTGCGAAATGGTGATATGCGCTCCTTGTGTCCATGAATGACCTTGAAATAGGGCATGGAATGGCAAACGTGAAAGGGGGAAACTTCCGTTCCGTTCGTCACGGAGACTAGAGTTTGAGGTAGTATAATTAATTGCCTTTGTGTGCGCGGGAGGACGAGTGTGAAATAGTGGAAATTTTTCGAAAGGCCGTTCGTTGTGTGTGTGTGGGGGGGGGAATAGTAGCAGTTGGAGTCACTGTCGCCGGCATTGCTCGCTTGTGATTGGAGTCGGTATAGTCAGGAGGGAAAGGGAGGGGAGCGCTAGATGATTTGCAATCCGAATTGTGCATGTTTTAATTTTTCATCGTTTGTAGGAGAAAAACTGCGTGGATCTGAAATGATTGATTTGGTAAGTTGCTGTTGTTGGTTGGATTGGTGAATGGAATCAACTACCAACTAGATTACTTCCTTTTCCTCAACATATTTTTAGCATAAATCATGAAAAATATTTTTCGTTTGCTTGCTTAATAGGGCAACGTAAATCATATGATCCTTTTTAAATAAAATATGATCCTTTTTTTATCCCGCTGTACCTACTTCAGAAAATGTCACAGCATCTAGTGGATCACTAAGCCAATCAACATAAAATACAGACGCAATTTTAAACTTTTCTAATGAAAGAACAAAGATAACTGACCCACTTATGATAATTCTTCCCCCTTCTAAAAACAGATTTTCATCTCGCCAAAAACTAAACCCAGGTCACGTGTCTAACGCAGGATTGTCAACGCCTGCTTTACCCCCCAGGACGTGACGACGCTCCTCCGATAGGAAGAGAGGTGAACTTTGACCTGGCAGTCCGAATCTTTTTTTTTTTTTTTTTTTTTTTTTTTTTTTTTTTAACTCCCTCTGGAGCTTATTTGAGGGGGGGGAAAACTATCGAATGGAACACCGGAAATTATCCGGACATGTTTATGTAAACATACATGTCCCTCCCTTTTTTCCTTTGCATTTTTTGCTCTTTCATGCCTGATTAATAGAATCATTACGCGATATTGCACTTACCCTTTTCACAGCGTAGTGCTGATTTTAGAATTTGCAGCTGGAGTGAACAGCGGAAGTCGTTAATAGAATTTTTTTATGCTTATCTGACGATGCTGATGGCGATCTCCCAACTTCGTCACTTTTCCCATAAAATTCATTCATTCTTGTCTCGTACTGGTGAGTATCGGTACATTGTAGAATTGCTTAGTCTCTATCAGTTTCTTACGCCTCAGAAAGAAAAAAAAAATCGAATTACAAAATGTCTAGTAAGAAAAGGAAATTCAGCTTGGTTTGGCAGCACTTTTCCTATACTAATGAAGACGAAAAAGTTATGTGTGACATTTGTAAAGACCTTTTATCCATCAAAGGTGGTTCAACAGGAAATTAAAAAAAACATTTGCAAAGGAAGCATCCTTGTGTAAATCTGCACGAGAAACGTGCTTTGCCGAATCAAGATGTTGATGATATTGATGCCGCTCCAGCCCGTTCTGTCGGCACTAGCCCTGCAGATGGTGGGCAACCATGCACATCCCAGCAGACTACACAACTTACAGTGACAACAGTGCTTGTGATATTGTTGGTGTATTTTCACAAAAATACCAGTCCAGCATAATGCAGTTTGTGCAGAGAAATACGATGGATGTACATAAAAAAAAAAGTAATCGATCTTGCACTGATCAAAATGGTATATAAGGATTTACAACCAATAAGTATCGTAGAAAATGAGGGATTCCGAGAATACTCAAAGGCTTTGAATCCAACCTATTCTTTTACCTTCACGGAAAACAGTTTCTAAATCCTTGCTTCCTTCCGCTTATGAAGAAAAAAAGAATAGTTTAAAAAACGTTCTTAGTGCTGTACAAAATATCTGTTTGACTGTAGACTGTTGGAGCAACCAAAAGGCTGAAAGTTACATGGCCATGACAGGCCATTTTATTGACGAACACATGCAAAGGAAAACGGTACTGATTGACTGCTCAATTTTTGATGAACGTCATTCAGCCAAAAATATTGCAGAAAATATCATACACATTTGCCAACCATATTTTCCGATGGAAAAAGTGTCTTTAATACTGACAATGCCAAAAATATGATTAACGCTGTCGACAGCGAACTAAAGTTAAAACATTTAGGATGCATTGCACACTCTCTCAATTTGGCTGTCACAAATTCTCTAAATGAGGTTAACGACCTTCTAACGAAAATTAGTGATATTGTGATAATTTACAGGAGAAGTAATATCGCTGCAAAAAAATCTGCGAAAATATCTGTGCTCTAGCCAGGAGAGAAAAGACTTAAAAGTCATTTTAGATGTGAAGACTCGTTGGAACAGCACGTTTTATATGGTAAAACGTTTCCTTGAACTGAAAGACGCTATTCGTTCTACAATGGGTCTGATGAACGACCCCCCAGAGGCTCTTGATGTGCCAGAATGGGAAAGTGTCCAACAACTTTGTGACGTTTTGAAACCTTTTGAAAAGGTGACTTGCGAGTTGAGTTCGGAAAAATACTTGTCAGCATCTATGGCGCCTGTGTTAATCGGCGGACTTCAAAAAAATCTGTGAAAATCTGCTTAGTAAAAGTGGTTATGAACAAGTACAAAATGTGGTACTAGTACTACAACGTGAATTGGGTAATAGATTTACAACTATCGATTCAAGAGAAGACATTGCTCAAGCCGCTTTCCTTGACCCCCGAATAAAAAAATTGGGGCTCAAATGTGATGTCGCCAAAAAAATTGAAAGTGATATTATCTGTGAGTTATCGGTAGTTGCACAAACTACCCATAATCTTGTTGAGGATGTGGAAGAGGATGATGAAGAGATAGACGAATCATCGGTTTGGTTCGAGTTTGAGAGTAAAGTTAAAGACTCTCGAACTTCATCAGCTCCCGCAGCAGACGCGGCGATCGACAAAGCTGCGGCAGAAGTGAAAAGATACCTGCAAGAGCCCATTCTTTCCAGGAAATCTGATCCACTGGAGTGTTGGGGGAAAAGAATAAAAATGTATTTCCTAATTTGTATGAATTATCACGGAAAAAATTAGGCCTTGTGGCTACTTCAGTGCCATGCGAAAGGGTGTTCTCTAAAGCTGGATTAATACTGAATGATCGGCGAAACCGTTTGAGTGGACAAAAGTTGAAACAACTAATTTTCTTACATTACAATTATAATATTTAATCATTTGTTGACCTTCTTAAAATTCCAACCTAAGTTCAGCTTAAAATGTTTTTTCTATGTTTATTTTCGCTGCATTATTTTTAAAACTGTTTCTGGGAGTCAATTTTTTTATGCTTAATTTTTCGTTACATATTTTAAGTGGTCTTTATAAAAAGAAATAGAAGGAATTAAATGCCTAAAATTTCCAAAAAAGTTAAAAAATTTGATACTTTTTATAACGTTTTGCACAGCCTATCAAAGTTTTATTTGTTTTAATTAAATGAAATATTACTTCATTCAAATGTCAATTTCTTAAAAAAAAATATTATTTTGAAATTGTATTTAGATCATTAATATAATATAAAGTTCTACAGTTCTATTATTTACTTAGCTGTACTCACATATGTTAAGTTCTCATATAGTTGAAAGCATGCTATCTTATTTTCTAGTGTTTAAATCATCTTTAATTTAAATTTTTATATCGAATGTACTTATTGAATTCATATAATGCAATTTTACAAATGTTTTTTTTTTTTTTGCTTTTTGCTGTTACAGCATCCAGATATTACGTTCTCGTAGTTTAAAGACATGCTGCCTTATTTCCTAGTGTTTTCAATAATCTTTCACTCAAAATTCTTATGTCGAATGCGCTTTGACCACTCTGAATGCCTTTTTTTGCGAAAGAAAGGAATGTAAGTAAAAAAAAAAATCACATAGACAATCACAGTTGCTTTCGCCCCAATTAAGGAAATACCTTCAGATTTTGGTAATTTTAAAATAACTTCAAAATTCAATCTGCTGATTTTAAACATTTTTATTTTAATCAAAATATGATTCCCCCCGTCTTGTCACAAACTGTGACAATTTCACTAACCCCCACCGCCTCCAAGCATGACATCATTTATGGATGACCTCTTTCACGAAATTGATAGAGCACCCATCGATTTTGCTGCATCTGCACACAAGACATAACTGAAAGCGAAGATGTTTCCATCCATCCAACTTCCCGCGCCAATCCTCCCAGCCCCCACTGGCCATCAAAGACAATCTACACAAACCCAACACCAGAAACAACCCGCCGCGCTCTCCTGCTCCTCAGAAACTTCCGTAGTTGACATGTTTTCTGATATTCAAAATCTTACTCCGTACAGATAAAATCAAACACGTGGTGACGTGGCAGAGTTCCTTCAGTGCGCAAAATCGCTAGCTGCGTATTTCGGTACTCCAAATTGTTACTAGGGTACTTAGGTACTCCAAATCGTTACTAGGGTACTCCGGTACAGCAAATCGTTACTCTGGTATTTCGTTACTTCGGTACTCCGAAATCGTTACTTGGGTACTCGGTACTTGAAATCAGTTTTCGGTACTTTTCAAAGTAACGGTTACTTGAGTAACGAGTATTTTGTACCGGGTACTTGTCTGTACCCGTTACTCTCGTACTGTTTACAAGAAAGTACCAAAGTTGCCCATCACTAGTCGTAGTTGTGAACGGAACTCCTGCATTTTATTCCTTGTGATTATGTCTCTGTGTCATTTATGCCATGGTCTGAATGCAGCCTTATCTTTACCTTAATCTTTTACCATATTTTCAGGGACAACTAACATTACGTGGTAATTAAAATTCAAAATTTTACTAATGTAAATTTTTCCTGTGCTTTTTGTGCATTATTACTAGTGTTGCTGACAAAAAATATATATATATACTGTATTACAGGCTATCAAATGATTTTTTTTTTTTTTTTTTTTTTTTTTTTTTTTTTTTTGAAAATATAAAACAATGTGTCTTCTAGCTATGTATTCTTAAATTTATAAAAGTCTTGGATCACACTTTGTTGTTTGTAGATAAAGAGAAAGCTTGTGTGCTTTAAATATAAAAAAATCTAATCTTTTAAATTCTTATTTTTATTCTGATTAAATAATTTGATCAATAATCTTGTAATTTATACTTATTATACAAGTGGCTGAATTTGTTTTTCGTGTGTTAATAATTTAAGAGTGTAACTAATTGAGCAAATGGAATGCTGGAAGGCTAACATTAACCGTAGGCGAAAAAAAATAATGATTCTGAAAGAAACTTTTGTAACCCATCATCAATTTTTATACTGCATGTTCATAAATTTACTATTTAATCTATGTGCTAATTCATAATTTACTTTTTCTTCTAGGGGAAAAAACGCTTAAGAAAATGCCTGGCATTGTTATGTTCAAAAGACGGTGGCGAATTGGCAGTGATGATTTTGTTTTCCCTGCATTAGCTGAATTGGGAATGAGATTAATATGGTATGTTGGTTTTGATATGAAACTTTTCATGTGTGAAAATAAAAACCTAAAATGACTTTTGAAAGCAAACACTATAATTTATCTGTAGAAACTTTTACTTGAATTGTATTTAACTTCCCCCCTTTTCTCTAGGTTCACTGTGGTTCTTGTTATCTTTATAAAGCACAGAGTCCATCTAAGATGCAAAGGTGGAGAAAAACTTCTTCAGACATACCTGACATTCTCCCTTGTGGGTTTGGCTGTAATTATACTTCTAGATTCTCTGATTGCTTGGATTAGCTCTAGAGGGACCATTTCTCAGGTAACCATTTTGATGGTTTGACTGAAAAAATATTCATTAGTACTTACGTGTTATCCTACCAGTGCTCCCACATGAAAAACAGCAGCCACTTAAAAAAAAGTGAGGATGCAATAATAATTACATAAAACACTAACAAATTAATGAAATTAAAAGCATAAGAATGAAACTCTCAACATTTCATAAAACAGTAACAAATTAACTAAATTTAAAATGCAATAAATATCCACAATAAAACACTTAACTTTCTGTTTTCTTAGTCCATGTGCATAGTGACCTGTTTTAGCTTTGAGAAACTATCAGAGAATTACAAAATTCTTAGCATTGCTCTTCGTATATGCATTGACCTGTTTTAACTTTAAAAAAAAAAATAAATAAATAAATAATAATAATAATAATAATAATTCGGAATTCTCGTCATCTCACAGCAATTTGGCACTGCTCTCCAGTGAATAATCACCCGTTTTAACTTTAAAACACATCAAAGAATTGGTTAGACATGCATACTTTTTGGAGATAATCGTTGTATGTAAATGTTGCATTCGGAAATTGTAGTTGTATCAAGACAATAAGAATGACAAAAACTTGCAGATTTATATTCTTAAGCCAGTATTAAATAAAGTGAATGGCTGTCATAAATGATATTCGACTATTCTGAAACCAATTTTCTTCTTGTCTTAGAATACTTTGATGGCGATTTGTAACACTATGTTTCATACAATGAAAATATTTGTTTCATGGGAATTCTAAAACAATGCCCAGTATGTGCTGGTACAATGTGCATGCAACCTTCAGTAAGGTGCCAGTTAAAATATGTGTTTGTTTTATTCTGGATTACCTACTTTGGCAGCATTAGCACTTTGCCCAATGATTCTCAGCACTGGGTGGATATTACGAAAGCTCATTTTTTTAAATTTAGATTCGTAAGTTATATACCATCTATGAAGAATCAGAATTGTGTTGTGTTCAATTACTGACATTAGAGACATAGGTACATTTTGGTGAAAGGCATGCCACTTGGCATCATATGTAAATAAATCTAAAATAAGAGTGTCTGTTTTATTAAATCCAATATATGTGCAAGAAACAAAAATAAACGTAGAAGTTCACAAATAAAAATGAGAGTAACTATTCCAACCATGCAATGATTCATGTGTGAGTTATTGATATCGGAAGAAAATATACCAAATAACTGTCAGGAAAGGAATTTGGGAACTTTGAACTGACATCTGCTCTTAAAACTTTTCATGCATTTTTGAATGCTGTACCTCTTTTTTTTTTAGGGGGGGTGAACCAGTCTTTCAGTATGATTGAAACCTTTGTCTTGAAAGAATTGAATCATGATCGTTCATCATTTGTCACCTGCTAAATAATGTAATTCATCATTTGCCCCCTGTTAAATAATAACATTGATTCTCTGCTCCTCCCCCACAAAAAAAAAAAAAAAAAAAAAAGTAGTTAAACATTTTGGTGAGAAAAAGATAATTCAGTCTTCTCACTTATTCATGGTAATGCCAATGCATAGGCATTTGGTAATTGAAAGAGGCTCAATCCACTTAGCCAAATCTCTGTTCAGCCATAAAACTCGCAGAGGCCTGCCTAGCTAGCAGCCACCGTGAAACTTTAAAGGTTTTGAAATAAAACATAACAAACAAACCAAAAAAAATATGACTGATGATTATAAACTCATCAGACTTAACATCCATTCATAAAAAATGAAAAAAAAAATTGGTTACACATTTAGAAAATTGACATGTAAAGAAAATAATAACACAGATACAATCGCAATCACACCAAATTTTCAAACTAAATTTTCCTTCCATTCCCCCCTTTAATATTTTTTGTATCAGTTTCTTAAGTTTTTTGTGGTACTTAAAAACCATTTTCAAGTTGAACTGATGATTCTACAGAATACTCATAGTTGCCTGATAGGTCTTCACAAAGTGGATATTATTACTCTAAACATTACTCATTTTATGGTTTTCATTTTCTCAAAGTTTAAATCCATATAAATAGGCTGGGAATCGTCTGTGGCCACTAATAATCTAAATAACATCAGTATGTTATATAATCTTATCTTTTGACCAATCTCTAAACTTTTTTATAACATTATTCTTTTCGGATAATTCCCAGCATTCTTTCCTGTGTTTAGTTTTTTTTTTTTTTTTTTTTTTTTTTTTTTTTTTGTTGTTGTTTCATTAATGCAAGAATTCTTCTAGAATATAATATATTCAGGTTTTGATTTGCAAGATTGAAGGCAGCTTCTTTTGCTATTGTGTCTGCATTCTGCTTTTCAGCAAATCTCCTGTTGGCCTTAATCTAATGCCGATAAATGTTGTAATTATCACTTAGTTTAAAATCATTTTTAATCTGTTCAACCAGAATATTGCCAATGTAAGGACTGAAAATCACATGTAAAGTATTGATAAATAGTTTGTCTATAAACTAGATTTTCTTCTGTCCTTTTCAGAACATAAAATATTGAGCTTGATACCGTCTTTTTCCGAAAATAAGACACTGTCTTTCTTTCTTTTTTGGTCCAAAATACGCGCTAGGGCTTATTTTTGAGGGAGAGCAAAAATAGAAGTATATTTACATATTTTTATTTAATATTTATTTTACACAGAATACAGAAATTTAAATTTATTCAATTACAGTCATGTCATCTTCTTCTGGAACATCGTCATAAATAAAATTCTGAATTATATACAAAAACAAATTATATTACAAAAAGTTCCAAAAATCACGATAGGTCTTATTTTTGGAGGATGTCTTATTTTCAGCAAAAGACGGTATACAGTATTTAATCTATTAAATTATTCAATGTAAATTTCCTATTTTTGGTCTCAGTCCCATGAAAGTATACCACTAAAGCACTTTCCGACTCCACTGTTTATTTCACAGCCATTTGGATTAATATAATTTTGTCAAGTACCCATAAAATTTTTATCAAATTCAACATTTTTTTTTTTTTTTTTTTTTTTTTTTTTTTTTTGTAGGATGAATTTGAGCATTATTATATATTTAAAAAACATTTTTTACTAACATTTACATCCAAAATTTCAAGTCCTTGTGCAAAATCCTTTCTTAGTAGAAGTTTGTTGTCATGGAATTTTGAGGAAGTAGGCATACCGACAAGAACACATGCTGCTTCCATCAAGACCATCTTGAAAGATCTCATTACTGCCAGTATGCAGCTTCTTTGCAAGTTATCCAATTTCTGTCTTAACCCCAACAGTTCGTCCGTTCGGCAATCCCATGCACCAATACAATACATTAGAAATGGAACAATAACACTTTATAAGAATCTCAGGATAGTACTCTTCTGAGCATTTCTTTAATTTTTTAACATAGTGTCTTTTCTCTTTGTATACTTTGAAAGTGCTTAATAAAAGTTAGTTTACAACTTAAGACCACACCCAAAAATTTAATTCTCCTATCCTATTTAATCTTTGGTGGGCTAATCTTCTTCCCACTGTAGGGAGAGGGAAGTCCAGATGTTTTGTCTGTATTGAATTCACTTTTTTTCCCTCTGCCACAAATTCTTCCTCTGCAACTTGTATCTTATCTTTAGTTTTCATCTTTGTTAAATTTGTTCTTTAGCTTCTGCAGAGAAACATCATAAATTAAAAGCAAAATGTTGCCCACATAATATACCAATTCACCATTACCCATATTAATTTTATTGATAAATTTGGTGGCGGTGAGGCTTCAAACAGGGGGAACACTGCAGAAGCCCTTTTCTCAATTTTCTTTCAATAACAGTATCATTCTTTTCATTCAAAAAAATTAATTTCCCGTCTTTAAAATAGTTCCTTAAAATACATAACATATTAGTAGTGAAATCCAGTCTTAATTCTTCCATCAGAGAGAGCCAGCAAACCAAATCGAATGTTCTCCAGAGATCAAATGAAACTGGGACCACATGAAAATCTCTTTTTCTAGGTATAATAATGTTTACAACCTTATGAAAAACCTATTCAGCAGACCTACCTTCATGAAACAGTATTGCCATTCAGAGATATTTTTAGTCTTACGTAAATAGAAATATAATATGTTAATCAATAATTTGTCAAAAATTTTCCAAATGCCTTCTAGAGTCTAATTGGCCTTAACCCTCTAACTGCTCAATTTGCAGACCAAAATCGCTTCCAATTCCCCCCCCCACACACACACACACATTTTCAATCTATATTTATTGGAGAATTGAAAAATGCACTTTTTCTTTTTTAGAAAATATTTTCTATATAGATTTTTATCATGAGAAACTAAGTTGTCAGAAAAACCAATTTCAGATGTTATCACCAAAAAAAGTATTTTTTAAAATAAATTTCAGTTGAATTACAGTTAATTTCTATTTATTACATAATATAAAAAAGTAAAATGTATAAAATTTAAGAAAATATAAAGCACTGAGGGAAAAATACCTTAGAAATGCAATTTAGTATAATAGATTTCAAACAGGTTTGAAGGCAAAGTCCAACTTCACAGTCTTTGCACCAGATTCAATAAATCTAATTAATAATTCTATAATTTAATTAAATAATCAAGATAATTGCTGAACATTTTCTAGCAGCCATTTCTGTAAGAAAAAAGCAGCAAAAAGTTAAGTTTGAGTGCTAATACCACGTGCCTTCAAATGCCGCAATTTAGTGGACAACTAACAATATCTGTTGGCCAAAATGTAAAATAAACGCCTGATAGTGTATATAATTTATTTCAATGGTTAAATGGGGGAAAAACGGGATGCACTCCTCATCAAAGGAAGAAAAACATATGACCGCAGGATTAGCGAATTTTGCTACATTTGAGTTCCCTGTCAAAATCGCGGGATGATCAGCCAGAGGGTTAATAAGCCACTAGCCTTTGGGATCAAAATAAGCCTTGATGTTTTTCAGGGTGTCGGCAAACTATCCAAATCAAGGTACGTGTTACATAATATAACAAAAAACTATAGGTTATAAATTGATGAGACTGAAAAACAAGCACCAGCTATCCTGAAG